GGCCATTTATATATATATGTATATATATATATATATAAATGGCCTAATACTAACAACATGTAGAAAATTTGATCGGACACACAGAGACTGTTAGACATGTGAGTGAAGAGCAGCCGTTGAACTTACATTGCACATCTCTCGCACAATGGCCTTCTCTTTCTCGCTCAGATCATCCTCATAGTCCTCTGGAACCTGCTTGTCCAGATTCTCGTGCACCTCCAGCACCTTCAAGAGCACAGAAGAAGAACTGTTTCAACCCATGGAATGAGACAAAGAGGACACTGTCCTCTTTTAGAGAAAGATGTTTGAAACTAACATTTCTGAAGAAATCCCCACTTTATGTTTTTTTCCTGTTAGCCCTATTAATAATATGCAATCTATTCTGTATTATTTTTTAATACAACTAGACTCTTATTTTGAAACCTAAAAGTAAAACCTCTTCATGTATGTACTTTGGTTTGTTTTACTTTGTATTTTTAAGACCTGCTGAATATTATAATATCCAGTAAATCAGAAGCTGCTGAATCACTGGTCGCCATGGTGATTCTAGCCTTTTTTGTGAAGCAGAGAGAAGAGAGAAACACACAGTGCAACTCTTCATCAGACAGAAACACAAACTAAAAATTGAGCCTTAAATATGCTGTCGCTATGCAAAAAGTAGTAGTATCAAAAGCTTTTTAAAATTGTGAATGGCACCAATGTCTGATGACTATATATTATTTTTTTTTAATAAGTGTACAGTAGTCCCTCGCTACTTCGCGGTCCATTTATCGCGGACTCGCTCTATCGCGGGTTTTCAAAATAAGATTGAACATGACACATAATTGACTGATTGATAGATGAGCCACATGCTCGGCATGAAATGTTTCTTTAATATAAATTATTTTAAATTATTTAGCACCTGCTGCATATTTGTGCAGCCCAGAGCAGCAGAAAAAGCTTCTTTCTGCACCTTTGTGCAGCCCATACTGCTGCAGGATAAACTTCCTGCTGCAGCTGATCAGCTGTTCTCCGTGCAGAGCAGTGGGCGTGGCCAAAAGCACTTGCAGGTGGCAAAGAGCAGAGGCGGCAGGGAGCTGAAATCATGACATGCTGTGCCCTTTTAGAGAGCTTAGAGTTTAGAAACATTGTTTAGATTATTGCAAGAGTGTGGAAAAGGTTCATACACATCTTTATATATATATATATATATATATATATACATATTAAACTACTACTTGTACTAATATTCCTACTTCGCGGTTTTTCACTTATCGCGGGTCTTCAGGGTACGGATCCCCGCGATAAACGAGGGACTACTGTGTAGTAATTTAAGTAGGCAATCTGACATGGTAAAGAGTCCATTTCATTTCAAGTTTTAAGGAGTAAATTCAGAACTCAGATATAATCAGAGTTAAGGTGTGTGCTCCAAGAATCTGGAGAGATTTGAGGAAAAAAAATCTAAGTCTTATAATGGTGAGGTACTGAGGACAAAATGCTTGTGCTTTGATATATTAACTGTATAAGAAGTGTAAAATTGTGGTGGTATGAACAATTTGCAAGTTTTAGAAAGGTTAGAGAACTCAAAAGTTGAACATTCTGTGGTAAAACGTAAACGAGATGGGTGTTTATGTGGGGGTGGCACCCTCTTCTTAGATATTACTAGGTAAAACATGAGATAATCCATCTAAGGATGTTTGAGATTACCACAGCTATGCACTCACATATAAATCAACAATGTAAGAAAAGCACAAAGTGATCAAAAAACAGCAGACATCCAAACAAAATGTTCCTTAAATTAATTTTCTTACCTTCATGGCATGGACCACAGCCTCGGGCTTCTGGACGCAGGACAGGTAGCCAGTGGCAGGGGACGACTCACTGGTTGTTAGACGGTTAGTACCCTGTAGGAAGTACACAAGAAGAACATATTGTTAGGGTAGTTTCTGTCATGGTAAAGAGTACCAAGAAAAATGTGTGAAGTGCGGACCAATGATAAAGGTTAGAAGTCTAAATATTAAACACACAGAGGATGTGCTCTGCTGCCAGACTGGAACCCTGCAGTCCACTTCCACAGACACTCCACTGTGATGAAAAAGGTTAGCCACGCTCTCTGCGCCTGTTCTTGTACTTGAAATATTGATTTTTGTGTCCTGTAGCACTGAGAATGTCATCCCCTTCATCATAACTCAAATCACCTCTCTTCCCCTTCAGTATGTCCTGTTTTTAAACTTCCACCAAGCTTTCAGTTCCCAGATCTGCTACCTGCTCGAGGTGATTTAACCTGGTGTGATGGGAGCAGTCAGCCAGGAGGAGAATCGGGGTGTTTGCTTCACTCATCTCACCCCCTGGTTAATCCCAGACAGTGGCTCTCTGTTTAAGGGACACAGATCTCTGGGGCACACAATGGCACTATTCACTGTGACCTGGCATCAGAAGCCTGCATTAGACACAGCTCTGTGGCTCCGGTAGCTCGGGTTCACTTCATACCACTGGTGTGTTTATCAGCTCCATCCACATTCACGGGCTCTATTTGGGTGCCAGAATGAGTCTGTATAATCTGATGGCACACACATACAAGAATAATCCCAACTTTAGCCCCAAAACTGTCCAACAGTTACATCAAACACTGATTTATGTCGATGGTCCTCAATGTTATGGCCTGACACCCTTCAACTCTCACAACTTGTGAGGTGTTTTGTTTCTTCTGTAGCATGTTCTAAAAAGGTCAAAATGTCTGACTGATGATTGAGAAAGAAAAACTATCTTAAGAGCCTTGTCTTTAAAGAGTTGAACCTCTAACCAGATGAGATCAGATGTGTGATATTTTAATGTAATATCTTTGAACAACGTAAAAAAGCCTATATGTTTACAAAAAAAGCCTTGAAGTTTAAAGTTGAACGTTTTCTGCTTTAATGGTTGGTCATTTGAATCCCAACCAGTAACCCCCCCCCCCCCACCACCACCACCACCACCACCACCATTCCAGCCTCACTCACAACTCAACTTTAAAACTGATTTAACAGATCAATGAGAATCAATGCATCTTTGTAAATAAATATAAGCTTTATTGTCTTTCAAAATTGTACAGTGCACCATGCAAAATGAACTTTCTTATTATTCAGACTTAGAGTTCATATTATTTTCTACACAGCCCATAACTATATTAAATTGTTATACACAAGATGAATAATACAACACTGTAATTTCTCATTTAAGACATTTTGGAGGGTTTCTCATGGGCTTAACATTCTAAATTTCCTTGCATATTTTGCTTTCATTTGTTGCATGTAAAGTGAAAGGTTAAAAAAAAATTACTACATGATAACGACTCCTCGTGGCTGAGAAAAATCCTGAACCATGCAACAAAACAAAACAAGAAAGTTAAATAAATGATAAATGCAATCTCACATTTGGGCTCAAAAATGAATCAGACTTTGCAAACAAAATAAGAGACAGGTTTCTTAAAAACAAAAATATATTAAAATGCTGAAAACACCTGAAAATGTCTCCATCACCATTTTCTGTGATGTGTTTTATTAAAGTCTTTACTTCAATGTGTAAAGCTTTCCTTCTTGCTCTTCAGACAGGTTTTATTGTTTGTTTTGCAGCTGGACTGTGTAAGGATGGCACCTTTTGCTGTTTCTGTTTGTGTCTGTGTTACCC